TGCACCTTATCATAGAGACTTTTGTTCTTAGGCCATGCATCGTAGTTTGATAAAAAATAAAACACAAAACCGCGGTGATAAACTTTGTGAGTTTTCGCATTTTTATAAACTTGACGTTTCGTATGCAAAGTTGGAAAATGTTAAGCAAAGTTAACTAGGCTAAACAATCTCCTCCGCGGAGCTAACTTTTCTTCTGGTCTGGGCAAGAAGCGCAACTGCTTATTGTTCTACCGCATGCCCGATTGGGCCGAGATTTTTAGCGAAAGTTGATTAGTGAGTTGTCTAGCTCTAAATTAAATTATGTTTTACAACAGAAAAAGAGGGGTGCAGAGAGACTTCTCTACCGAGCCAGCCTGGTCAGCCTGGTTCATATGAACAGGCCCTTAGGAAGGCAGTACAGTATCGCAAATGATCTCCGAGGGCAAATGATCCCCAAAATGGACCACATATCATCCTCGACCGTAATTGATCCCCATTGTCGACAGTGGTTGCCATACTTATCACCAGATGCACACAATGTACTTTTAATCTTAATGGTGGTACCTTTAGTGTCTTTAGTTTTCCATGGTTTGCGAGGCGGTTTTGCCTGTCTTTTTGAGATTGTCTTCACAGGAGGATCAAATTTTAAAATTAAAACAGTAAGCTTATCCTTACGGCAGGAAGAGTGATAGAAAAATAAATAAAGAAAACAAAAATAAAGTGGTGAATTATATTTGCCCGATATTTCGGTTTGCAACACAAACCTTCAACAAGGGCTATAAAAGAAAAATGTATACGAGATACAAGATGAACGTTACATATGCTTTGCCTTCAAATCTCGCATATGTAACTTTCTTCTTGCATCTCTATTCATTATTCATTTTTCTTTTACACCCTCTGTTGAAGGTTTGTGTTGCAGTTTGTGTTGCAAACCGAAATATCGGGCAAATATAATACACCACTTTATTTTTCTTTTCTTTCTTTATTTTTTTCTATCACTCTTCCTGCCGTAAGGATCAGTTTACTATTTTAATTTTAAAATTTGGTACTCAAGATTTTACTGATCCAGGTCTATACTAAAGATCCGGCTGACCCTCACTGGTTTGTCGTTGTGGTTTTGCTTTCACAAGTGTTTCACAGGAGCATGCTCATTGACAAGGCTACTGAATATGTTAAAGAAGGGAATAATAGCTTATTGACATCGGTCGACTTTGTTACAACAGTAGTAGAGAGCAAGCTTTCCATTTGGGGGAGTAGAAGGATTTCACGCGAGAGCCAAGAGACGCACGCCATACACTCATTTTTTGAAAGCATGTTCTTTTTCCGGCACAGGTTGAATATTCTCATTTTCTGCCGATTTTAGGCTGAAAAGATTCTTGTATTATTCTTAAAAAAGAAAAAAATTTATCATGATACTCTTGGCGCTTTATTTCATTTCTTTTGTCAGTGCTGTATTCTACATACATGTATGTATTACGTGTTACGTTCATCGAACATATAACGTATAATTGTGAACATGTATATACAGATTTTCAACACAACAAAATTATAGCCTTTTCAAAATCTAAGCCTTGGGTTTATTCTTAAAATATTCTTGAAATTTCGAAAACTTCAGACTTAACATTTTAATAAAATTCTTATAAAGAGGAAAGAGTGTAATTAGAGAGCTTGCTCGCAGGCTACAACAATAGCGTCACTTGGAAAACGTTAGCAACTAAAAGATCAGCAGAAACACGTGAGAAGACGGGTTGGCTTGTCAATTATAAGGATAAGAAAACAGCTTTGAAGAGGAGACTTAAAGGGACAGGTTCACGGTTCAGCGCATGCTCATTTATCAAAATTCTGTTTTTCTGCCGGGACATGCTGTATCGTCTATGCTAGCAATTTGATAATAATAATAATAACTTTATTTGTATAGCGGTATATACAAAAGCTCTATATCGCTTTACAATCAAAAAAAAGAAAATAACTAACAATATAACGAGCGATATAAAAGCGATATAAAATTACTGAAAATGACGCCCCTATATCTGATTTGTCCCGCCCAGTCCTCTCTCAGTCTCCTATTAACAAAGAGCTTTAATTTTGAGGACAAGAACGAGTACGAGAACGAGATTTACAGTCGACTCCCGATAACTCGAACTTAAAGGGAAATCGTAAAAAGTTCGAGTTATCGGGAGTTAGGGGAATATAACCGAAAATAAGGAGGGAAATGGGTTTCAAAGGTGATTGCTGGCGAGGCAGTTATTCTTGGGGACATAAGGAATACAATGCAATTACTATGCACACTTCACTCAGTCATTGGGATCAATGAGCACATGAGATATATTGAGGGTCCTCAATAGGATTCTTCATTCCCGTAATCCCGAGCCCAAATTTCGTGTAATCCCGTAATCCCGATGATTTCTTTTTTTGGTATCCCACCTCCCGCGATACTTTCAATCCCAAATCTCGCCCGGATTTTGCCTTAAAATCCCGAATCTTGAGATTCAAGTAAGAGAAATCCCGGACACTGCCAGGGTCGCCAATTGGTTTTTCAGTGAAAAACCAATTGGCGACCCTTTATATTGACATTTTGATTAAAGGAACTTAACAACGAAGCTTGAATAATATATAGAGTTAGACACTGTATTTGAACTGGATTGACCAAGAAGTAAAGACATAAAATACATGGGGTTACTTTGAAATTAAGTCAATGTTTTGGAGCGCAGTACACCGTTTGACTTTTTTTTTCTCATGACGTGCAACGCGCTTAAAATATGGTTCGAGTTATCGAGGGTAAAATTATATAGAAAAGATCTGAAGGGAAATATAAATTACTTCGAGTTAGCGGGAAGTTCGAGTTATCGAGGGTTCGAGTTACCGAGGGTGAAATTGCAGTAAATGTATGAAGGAAATCCAGGGCAAATCGATTTTGGTTCGAGTTATCGGGAGTCGACTGTCACTTGAAGATTTTGCGCTTGTTCTAAAAATAAGAGACACCGCGGAAAGCTTCATTTTGCTTTTTTCACCAGAAAGGTATTATGGTTATTTATACTGAAGGGGGTTAAGCCCTCTCTCGATCGAAAAGTGATAACATTTCTTACATTTGATAACTTGTTCCCACCACTCGGACATTCTTGCTAAAAGCCGTTGTAGAATGACGACAGCGATCACGTTTTCCCGCCAAAATGAAGCTGACTCGCGCGCGCAATACTTGGTATTGAGGTAATCTCATACTCGTAGTCCCCTTCGTCCGAATCTAAAAAGCTCTCTAACATAACCAGAGAAGCGCGGGGAAAGCGGAGGGTGATGGATCGTACGCGCTCCCTTCAGTCACGCGCGGCATGAATACCTGAACTCTATACCACGCAACGTTCTAGTCTTACATTAAGACATTTTTGAAAGAAACAAAAAAAAAAGGAATTGGAAACGAAAATATCGCGAGTTAACAAAATGAGCATTCGTTCTCTACCTCTCTCTCTCTTTTTTCACTCAGCATAGAACATCTGTGAGCAAAAAGCATAGACGGACTAAGTATGCGTTCACAAATTTGAACGGTATCCCGAAGTATGCTGACGTCCGAGCTTACTGTTCACATGTTAAAATGTATTGTAAGAGGGCACGTCTGTTGTCCTGTCATCCGCGACTCTTCATTTCACTCATCATTTCATTTGAAGTCCCAACAAAGACTAAACGAAAAACAAAACAATGCATCGCTAATACAATAAAAACTACAATTGATCTACCGCTGCATTTAACCGAAAGGGCTCCCCACTCGAATAAGGAGGAAGGCACTCCGTACTCGAGGGCGGCCCGCTTTCGGTTCAATGCAGCGGAACATTATTGATTTTTGACTTCAAAGTGCGAAGGTCATTTGAGGGCGGCGCTCTTTCGATTTAACGCAATAGAATATTGTGTTTTTCGAAAGAGCGCTTATTTATTCCCCACTTAAATTGAGGGCGGCGCTCTTTCGAGTATATACGGTTTTGACAGCATTCGATGGTTTTATTACATTTGAGAGCTTTTATTACATTTGTGGCTTCAACAGTACAATGTATGTTTTGCCTTAAAGCTCATGCTTTAATACTGCAGCTTATAATAGCGATCTAATTATGGATAATATACGGTATACATACGATAAAAAAACACAATAAAATTTAACAATGTTTTGAATCAAAATGTTAACAAGACAAAGCGAGCAAGGTCCGCATCATTCACAAAAGGGCGATGTTTGTCACACAAGACGATTGAGGACAATTTTCAGAGGAACATAGCGTTGCAACTGTTTCGAATGGTTGCAACATTATTCCAACACTGCAACGTTGCGTTACGCTAGAAATGGCCGATGCAAATCGTCCCGTTGAAGACAAACAAGGAAGGTGCCTTTATCGCACGCGCTTGTATTCCCTTGTGTCTTTCCTCCCTTCCTGCTCCTCCAAAGTTTAATAATTTCGCTCCCAATATCGTGCATCCTCAAAGCACCACTACATTTGTGATAAACATGGTTAAAACCTGTAAATTAAAGGCTATCAAAATCTATTGTTTCTATGGTGTTAAAATACAGTAAAAGGGACGATACTGAGAATCCACCGCATTTCGTTCATGAGATAAAGACGAAAAGCTATGACATCATCGATGTTAATGTAGTACGTTAATGCTGTTATTGGGGAGATTCCTTCCCAAAGAAAGGTTAATTCGGTGCGCCCGGTGTACTTTTCTAACTGGATAAAATCCTTGACCCCGTATCAACAGTTAGAACTGACAGAAATTGCGGGGAAGAGGCACTCAAGAGAGTTATATACGAGGAGGTTCCACTGAGGTCTCCGACCCCTTACCCTTTTACATGCCATTTTTGGGATAAAAGGTATCCGTTTCACGTAATCTACTCTGTATTATACCTCGATATAAGGAATACTATGTTCACATTAAATAACTTCTAGAGATGTAAATTTACTGAAATGACACTACTAGAGGTAACCATGAAATCGTTGGCCCAAAGATATCTATGTCAGTGGCCTTTGTTGGCGAGGCGCCCCATATCAGGCCCACTTATACAGCGCACTGTTGACATTCCATTTGTGATGATCAGTTCTACTATTTGCAACTGCTAGGTAAGTATGGCCTTTGTATTGAAATGACGTCATACCAGAAGCTCCCTGGGTTGGAATCTCTTGATATTCAATGAACTGTTCCTGAGAAACTCGATATACCACTGACATAATATTGAACCCGTTGTCGTTATTAAAATGATTAGCCACACCCAGAAAAGTTTGACTGCACATCATAAAGGGATGTAACGCGACTGCTCCACGAGTAGGAATCGACTGAAATAGAACAAAATGACTGCCGTTCCACTTGTAAATTGGAGAATTGATATTGCGTTCCCCACCGCGTCTGTAGTTTGCAAACGCGAGAAAAGTAGAACCGTTGTCACTGAATGACTTCACATCTTGGACTCCATATGTCTGAAAAGACTGCAGTTTGACAAATTGCTGCCCTGACCACTTGAAGACAACTGACTGAAGTGACCACTGCTCTGACTGCTTTTGACCGTTAAAATGGTTTGCAAAAGCAATGAAGGTTTCATTGCTGATTGCAAAGGTCTCACTACTGAAAGCCCCCTCGGTTGCTATCTCTTGAATCTTTTCAAATTTGCTGCTGTTCCACTTGTAGATAAAAGAGTTGATACTGTGGGAGGAGTCATCACGATAATTTGAAATGGCAAGAAACTGCTCATTTTTTATTTCGAAGAAGTCAAAGCTGTGTGCTCCAAATGTTTCAATGCTTTGAAAGCTGACAAATTTTTCCTGACTTAGACTCCACTGGTAAATAGTTGAATTCTGTCGGTACGAAGTTCCATCATAATGATTTGCGACGGCCAGGTAATGTTGATCACCAGTTTTAAAATATTCCATGTCAATGCCTCCATGCGTGCCTAAAGTCTGATAAAGGAGAAAAATTCCAGTGGAATCGTTCTGTTTGTAGATGAAAGAGTCGGTGTTAAATCCTTCGGTATCACTTTTATAGTTTGCGAAGGCGAGAAACCGATTTCCGCTGATAGTGAAGTGTTCGACGTCAGACCCTCCTCTGGTTGGTAGATCTTGTTTTTTTTCAAAGTGGTGAAATTTTTGAGAACAGTCTTGCAAGAAAAAATAAATGATTGCGGGTTAATAAAGGATTCACTACAATCAACGCAATGTGCATGGGTGACCTTACTCCATGTAGCATTTTCAGTTCAGCTTTTATTTAAACGTTGTTTCTTCAAGAGCACTAAGTAGTAGTTTCCTATCAGGAGTATCTCTTTTGCGGTCAGACGTTTTACGCCAAAACAATGTAAGTGCGTTGTCCATTCGTCTGCTGTATTTCATTTTTGCTGTATTTCTTTTGCTCTCGCAGTATTTCTGAAGTTATATTTTCACCTTGTATTTCCGTTTAAACCACAACACAACACAATTAACACATCAAATACGGCAAATTACGGTACATCTGACCTAATGTCAGTCGAGTCTTTTGGGTCAATAGTCTACCATCTTGCTTATTGCTGTAACCCTCGAGGACTCAAATCGGAATAAACTTGTGCGTTTATTGTTAGCGCTGATCGGTAAAAGAAGTCGCCTTACGGCAGCTATACACTGTTTGTAGTTTTGTTTTCCATTTTTGCTGTCTGAATCTAGATTCTGTCGTTTTTCACTGAATTTTGTCTCGCTAGTTTTCTACTTTTCAGAAAAGGTTGTCAATGATTGCATTTAACCTTAAGTTTTAATAGCTTTCAATGAGGATGCCTATATACCGAGCCAGGACTCAGCCAGGACTCGAGCTAGGACTCGAGCCAGGACTTCGAGCCAGGACTCGACGCAGGACTCGACCATTTCTCGCTCTCCCACCATTTTGACTTCCTGCAAGTCCCATGACCATTAAGAGGAGGGTTTTCGTAGCAATCATGGAAGGAAAGCTCGAGTTTTTGTTAGGGTTAGGGTTAGGTTAAGTTAGGTTAGGGTTAGGAGGTTACCAGTTAGGTTAGGAATCCTTTTTGTTGCTTTTATTTTACTTTTTTAAAGCTAATTATTTTTATTTATTTATAGTCAAAATCTTGAGATTGGTGTCTGTAATTAGCTCTTTTTATAAAGCCTTGTGCAGTTTTCATCCCGCTCGATTTAAATCTTTGCTGTTTTTTTTTTTCCTATGGCTTTTAATATCAAGTTCGTCAATTTGTCTTTGTTTGACACTCAGATTATGAATTGTCTACCAAGACACAAAAACCTTTCTTTATTCTGAAAGAGCTCAGAGCTGATTTGTGATAATATAAATTACAAGCTAAAAATCACGTTGTATGTTTTGTTTTGGTTTGCAATCGATCGCGCGCTTCATCAACACGGACGCGTTCTACCTCAACATACATAGGTTGGAGGCTGAAGTAAAATTTTCCAGAAACTTTTAAATGTCAGCAGGAAAAAAATAAAAATGTTATTCACCGGCCTTGGTGGATCCGTATTGGGAGAAACGGTGCCCTCGGTCTGAGTACCTCCCTCGGCCTACGGCCTTGGGTGGTACTCAAGACCTCGGGCAGTTTCTCCCAATACGGATCGACCAAGGCCGGTGAATATCATGTATACATCCCAAACATATTTCCCATTTCCCATCCCATTTCTATGCTAATTTGTGGAAAACTAGTCCAAATACTAAAATTCTGCATAGCAAGGGTTAAACTTTGTCTACCGTAATCGCAGTCAGGATCATGGCAGGATCTTATGCTCAGTTGATAATTATGCATAATTTTGGTAAATTTCAACCTGGTATGTTAGTCCTGATAATTTGGCAAAGGCATATAGCTATTTGTTTTAGTCTTGACCTTGGATTTCATTGTTTGCATACCATCTCGAATACCTGCATATTTTGGGTAAATATCGTTCCTACATCTGGCTCAACAAACCACCTGAAAATTCCTTCACAGAATAAAATATTGTACTAATAGTACAATAAAGAAACAGAAAACAGCATCGCCGGCAGTCGAACCTAGTTCATCTGCACGTGCAAGCAACTCCTTGACCACTGCACCATTGTGCCACTCAGTTTTTGGTGGTACTCCCCTATAACACTGATCGGGTTGCTCGTTGTACCTTTTCGGGGTTTAAATTTGTGAATTCGTACCGCTTAGGGTGCTAAAACCTTAAATGACTGATTAGGATAAAGATTTATGACAATATTTTCAAAAAGTCCTTGAGAAGAAACTGTTCGAAAGTTATCTTTTTCGCTACTGAAATTTGCAGCGCCAGTTATATAATCGTCGTGATGAAATACAAGTAGTAGACTATGTTGAAACTTAACCTCATTTTGGATTCCCCTTGGATTTCCCGCATACTAATTTGGATTTCCTCCATACTAATTAAGTGCCTTCCTCCATATATAATGAAGTACAATAGGAACAATAGGCTTGCCTAGACTTGCCCGCGCTGTTTTAACCCCGATTGGATAGTAAACAATCTATTATGTGTTTAAAATAAAAGCGGGCTCTCCGTTCAGCATATTAATCTTGCAATCGGTTTGCTAAGGAAAAAAAGTCTTACTACCACCAATATTTTTTAAAACATCGCTTCAAACATGCAAGTCGAAATGAGCGCTTCAGAAGATAAAGCCAGTTCCTTACCCGGTCAGTTCTGCCCGTTTCATCCCCGCTCAACGTTGGAATTGGTAGAAAAAGCGCAAGGATTTTGCTATGTGTACTGCCCCGAGAAAATGTGTTTTATGTTTGCCCCTGCTTCAGAATGGAAAGAGGACATAGAGTGGATCGAGCATCATACACACTCTGATGTGAAAAAATATGCACCTCAGTTGGTCTGTAATTGTTCTAACAAGCTAGCATTGAGAAAACGTAAACAGCCTTGGAGCCAGGATCGAATGTTTCTGACATGCTACAAAAAAGCCCCCATTAGGAGGTGTGGTTTTTTCCTGTGGATAGACCAGCCAATATCGCATGGTATCAAGGATCGACTCTCGTATTCACCTCAGCCACGGGTCACAAGATTCCAACCTTATGGGGAGATAAAGGAGATATTTGAAAAACATAGCCAAGAGGCTAAACAGAAAGCATTTATCCAACACCAGCGCCATACACGCAAATGTGACGAAGGCTTTAAAATGTGTGACAACGGTTTTAACAGTCTAGGAAGTCCCAACATCTTTCATGGGCTTAGATACAGAGAATGGATGCATGAAGTATGGGAATCGTACAAGTTTTATGTCCAAAAAATGAAAGAAGACTCTCGAGACGACCCAGATGCTACACTTAGTTTAGAGAAAATGATGTACTGAGTCAGGCGTACTACAAGTACGCGAGAGAGGACGGGCATCACCCCGAAAGTTACCGGGTGTTGAAGGTTTTGTATGAAAGACACATTGAAGGCAAACACGTACCTTTTCAACCTTATGTTATCACCCCTGAAGAACGTGAAGAGATTGAAAACGATAAACAGTTACCTTCTTATTCTAGAGCGTTTGCACAAGATGCACGCAGACCAAAATGTTTTGCTATGCTTAACAATACATGTATAAGGAACCCTAGGTCTTCCTGTTTGTTCTAAATAAAAATGTTACATCGCTGCCAATGTGGAAATAGAGCTGTCTTGAGATCCTTTGAAAGATTTTTAAAGTTTTTGTGTGAAATAAAGTTTTATTCATCTTTACACCGCGTTAGTCACTAATTATGTTTAACAAATGTTTGACTCGAGCTCTAAAATTTGCATGTGAACTAGCTCGTGTGCCTTTTGTTTGACAAAACAATAAGTCATACACAACACCTACTCTGATCACAGGGTCCAGAGGAGATGTGTTTGTCGTTAGAACATCAAAACCCGTCGAAAACCTCTGAAAAAATGGGTTTTTTTTATCGCGTTACAGTTTCGTTACACATTCTATTGACCGCAAACCAAGAGGCTCGCAAGATCGGCTTACAGTAAAAGATACGGAAAGGGGGGAAACAAATTTGGGGCCGATTTTCGAATCCCTGAAACTCAAATGGAATTGAATGAAATGGCCTGATTTTACTCACGTGATCTAGAATTCTTATGTATTTGCCAAATACTGTAGGAAAACGGCATAAAAAAGTATTCAAATTCATTAATCGTGTCTTGTTTCCTGACTCGACGCGCACGACTTACACGCGAGATCTCCACGCGCAGGAAAAAAAACTCAACGCTAAAATGTGGCGTGTTTGGCGCTTTTGGCGTTTTTGGCTGTCGTTTCGTGTTAAATTAAAGATAAATTTTGTGTCGCAAACAGTTTTTACTCATTTGAAAGGTGAAAGGTTGTAAAGATTGTGAAAAAATAGATTTTGTAAATAATTTTCGTTTTCTCTAGTTTGTAAATAGCATAATATATAAAAGAGTTTCCTAAATGTCTAAAAAATGTTATTTGTTCATAGTTTGTAAATAAATCATTGGTTGAATTCAATCATTTTAGTTCGATTAGCAGATCATTTAACTCGAGTCCATGAGTTATCGGGGATAGAACGAAAATATTGGTTTCAATTTGCTAAACTACAAAACACCAATGCGGTTCGTTTTTACGAGAAAGAGGTGGGACCTAAAACAATTTTTTCCATAAATCAAAGAGCCTAGGGAAAAAAACACAACTCTAAAATGTGGTGTTTTTGGCGTTTTTAGCTGTCGTTTCGCGTTAAATTAGCGACAAATTTCTTGTGGTAAGCTCTTTTGTTCGCCTATTTTTTCCCCAAATTCTCAAATTTCTATTCTAACACATCCTCACATTTCATGTTACACCACAGGTCACCCAGACTCTGTGATAGTACCACAGTACCGTTCCAGTAAAATTACAGTGTTTGTATGGGGTAAAAATACCATCCTAAAATTTCTAGGAAATACTAAATAAAGATCAATGAAACTTACTCTGCATTTAATTGTTGTTGTCCTTATTGCTCCAACGAAGTTTCGTGACAATTTTCAGTAATTTGTTCAAATTCACTCTATCTACAATAATAATATACAAGGTAGGAAACACGAGAGGCCATTTTCGCCGACATGCTCTCATTCAACACAATTTTTTCCAGGAAATTCGAACTCCAACGGAAAATAAACATGCCAGGATCGTAGAAATAGGATAGCAACAGATATAGAAACCAATGAAGCTTTCCCAGATAGAGAAACGAATCCCACAGACTTTGACAAACTCGAAGGATATAATCCAAACAGACCGAGAATATGCTCGCCGAAGCAGCCGGGCCAGATCAACGCGCGGCCAAGAAAATGAGGCCTGGGCACAGTACAAAAAAATTCCATCCCGGGAGTCCTGGGGTGATCTTTTTGGGGACCGATACATCATTTGCCCAAAGCCACCCTCCCCTGCTGAAAAATACTTGATAGAAGGCAATTGTTCTTCCTAGCCAATCACAGTTCGCCAGAGCAAACCCCGCACACGCGCCTAAATTTAAATGGCTAAAAAAACTAACTATAATCAGGAGAGTCTGCCGAGTTACAAGGCGCCCCATTTCTTTTACTAAGGAATGCAAATAACAGTAATGAAACTAATGAAACAACAACACGAAATACTTAGACGGCGGGCTAAAAACAAAGTTGAACAAAAGGTACATGATGACTGAGATACTGTTGCTGTGAACTCTCGAGCGAAACTATCGTAAATAAACGGTGAAGCTTACAAACTTAAGTCAAAAATTATACAGAAAATTCCAACAGAATATGAATTGCGATGACTGAGACGAATGTGAAAGACATGTGCACCAGTAAACAAAGAACTAGCACGATTAACATATTTAGCGATTAATGCGGCCGTAACACGCCGACTTCTTGTCAATACAACCGGACATTCTATCAGTTAAATATGTAAACCATCGTGACACCTATCTTTGAATTTGGTCCTGTTGTACAAATGCCGCGGTAAGAGCCAAAATTCACATATCTTTTGCTCGTTTAAAGTAAATCCTCCTTCTTTGTTATTTCCTTTGCCCTTATAACCTTGCCCAATTGATGTTTGATAGACTTTATGAGGACCAGCGCCAGGCGCTGAATATAGTTCAAGAGGGACATAACATCTTTATAACAGGCCAGGGTGGTACGGCTAGGTAGAACAATGGGCCATTTTACAGTTATGGATGGAAGCGAGGCTAAGGGTGACCTTGTTTTGATACAAACCTTCTTTTCTTTGTTATGGAAATTGTTCTTGAAAAATACTAGTCAGCATAAGAATAACTTGATTTACATAATAAAGCAAGAAGGTTTGTGTCAAACCAAGGTCACCCTCAGCCTCGCTTCCATCCACAACTGTAAGATGGTCTATTGCCTTCTATCAAGTATTTTTTCAGCAGGGTAGGGTGGCTTTTAGTCTGCTACACAGCCGTTTTTAGTGTCGTCACGCAACGCTGCGCGACGACACTAAAAACGGCTGTGTAGCAGACTAGGTGGCTTTGGGCAAATGATGTATCGGTCCCCAGAAAGGTCACCTCAGGACTCCCGGGGTGGATTTTTTTTGTACAGTGCCCAGGCCTCATTTTCCTGGCCGCGCGTTGATCTGGCCCGGCTGCTTCGGCGAGCATATTCTCGGTCTGTTTGGATTATATCCTTCGAGTTTGTCAAAGTCTCTGTGGGATTCGTTTCTCTATCTGGGAAAGCTTCATTGGTTTCTATAACTGCTGCTATCCTATTTCTACGATCCTGGCATGTTTATTTTCCGTTGGCCTCTCGTGTTTCCTACCTTGTACATTATTATTGTATATAGAGTGAATTTGAACAAATTACTGCAAATTATCACGGAACGTCGTTGGAGCAATAAGGACAACAACAATTAAATGCAGAGTAAATTTCATTGATCTTTACTCAGTATTTCCTAGAAATTTTAGGATGGTATTTTTACCCCATACAAACAGTGTAATTTTACTGGAACCGTACTGTGGTACTATCACAAAGCCTGGGTTACCTGTGGTTATACATGGGAGATTTTAAAGCAAGATGGGTGGATTTCTAGGAACTCTTTGGTGGGTTGTTTTATTCTTCTGCTTGTTTTGTGTTGATATTTGGGGGATGAGGTGGTTAAAAAACAGATGTTACTGCAAGGAGGAGCTGCGACTAATCGACTTTGATGGTGGTACCTAATTCAGTTCCACTGGTAAACTACACTACACTGAACTTGAGACATAATTTATTGTCTCAAGTAAAGTTTTCGGTGTTGAAGGAACAACTCCCTAATTTAAAAATGGTGGATCTGAGGGACAATCCGTTCGACTGTAAAGGATTCCCGGACAAGACAATATTTGGAGTAATCATTGACTGTGAAATCGCAGTGACCAGAAAAACTCTAGACTACAAGACTACCATCATCACACGCTGGAACTCCCACCAGAAAAACTCTAAAGACTAGCAAACTAGCCCAACCAACAACGACTACAAGATTCTACCATCATCACACTCTGCAACGTCCATAATTATTTATATGACTGTTTTGTTTTCATCCGTTTTATTAATGCCGGTTATTATCCTTTGTTTGAAAGGTGTTGTAAAACTGTGCAAAACAAGACATCGTACCAGAACACTTCCGATTTCCTGTGAACTAAGTCTGTTCAATTTTGACGCTGATAGCGAGGAACACGTAGTATTTGATGTCACTGCCTTGTAAATACGCAACGGATTTCATGTCTTCTCCTGCTTAATAGCTAAATGTTACGCTTAAAGTTCTTCTTGGTTTCAGATCGCTTTTGTTTTAGAGGACTCCATGCCGAATTAGTTCAAAGGTGACCACAAGGCAATATGACGCTGGCGTCACCTTTATGACCACGTTGTGATTTTCCTGGTGAATCATTTTAGCCTGCGAACCGTAGACGCCTCTGTGGTTACCCCTCTTTAAAAAGAACGACAACTATCTGAATGTTTATTATAAGAAATTGTTTAATATTACAATTCAGTTCACTCCGTTACGTTTTGTTGTTCAACGCGAAACTAAATTTTCTCCCGTAGCAAAAGTTGTAATGTATGTTTTGGTGTCTGAGTCTACCAGCTTTGATTAATTTATGAGAACACAGAAGAGGCATAGGCCGGTCAGATGCAAATGACTACTGGTGAACGGAACGAGTAACAATGATTATAGACAAAAACGTTTTATTTCCTTTTTTTTTTTTAAATTCACAGTGCATCGATTCTCACGGTAGGACATTTATTCTACTAATTAAAAAGTGTCCGATTCTCGATAACTCCATGCTGTCGCTGGTGTTTGGATCGCTTGGGTTCTTGACTTTTCAGTGCTTTAAGGTCTCGTATTTTGCGTTTTCTCCTAATCTTTCGAATTCTGGTGAGTTGACTAGGCTCGCGGTTTGCAGGATACTCGCGTCTCCATTGGTCAGAGTTTATACCGTCCGTGGGTAAAACAGTGAATTTGCTTCCACATCGAAACTGGACCATTTTGATCAGGTGTGCTATTTGTATCCACACCACCTTGGCGAATGCTTCATCTTTTTGTTTCATCACGTTCTGTAAAAGTTCCAGGAGGAGACTTATCACCTCCCAGGCGATTTCAAATTCGCTTAAATTCTCTCCGAAAAAGCAATGAAACGTGATTGTTGTGCTCTGCTGGTGTATGAACATTTTTAATTGTCTTAAGCTTTCTTTGATAATTCCATTGTTCCGTTCCGGGTTTTGAAACGGGTAGCTAAGTTTCCGATATTCTCTTTCGACATCAATATTCCACACTTTTTCGAGGGTGTTTGGGGTTCCAACAGTAAACTTGTCAGCCATATTGTTTTTGTTGTTGTTGTTGTTGTTGTTGTTGTTGTGGGTAAACGGAACTGACGTTCTGAGACTCGAACTTGAACAAGACTTCGCATAAAATAGCTCGCATGTGGTCTTCAGGTCTTGTTATAGACACTGAACAATACATCTGGGACTATCCAATCAGAGTAGGTGTTGTGTATGACTTATTGTTTGTCAAACAAAAGGCACACGAGCTAGTTCACATGCAAATTTTAGAGCTCGAGTCAAACATTTGTTAAACATAATTAGTGACTAACGGGGTGTAAAGATGAATAAAACTTTATTTCACACAAAAACTTTAAAAATCTTTCAAAGGATCTCAAGACAGCTCTATTTCCACATTGGCAGCGATGTAACATTTTTATTTAGAACAAACAGGAAGACCTAGGGGTCCTCATAATGTTAAGCATAGCAATACATTTTGATCTGCGTGCATCTTGTGCAAACGCTCTAGAATAAGAAGGCAACTGTTTATCGTTTTCAATCTCTTCACGTTCTTCAGGGGTGATAACATAAGGTTGAAAAGGTACGTGTTTGCCTTCAATGTGTCTTTCATACAAAACCTTCAACACCTGGTAACTTTCGGGGTGATGCCCGTCCTCTCTCGCGCACTTGTAGTACGCCTGACTCAGTACATCATCTTTCTCTAAACAAAGTGTAGCATCTGGGTCGTCTCGAGAGTCTTCTTTCATTTTTTGGACATAAAACTTGTACGATTCCCATACTTCATGCATCCATTCTCTGTATCTAAGCCCATGAAAGATGTTGGGACTTTCTGGACTGTTAAAACCGTCGTCACACATTTTAAAGCCTTCGTCACATTTGCGTGTATGGCGCTGGTGTTAGATAAATGCTTTCTGTTTAGCCTCTTGGCTATGTTTTTCAAATATCTCCTTTATCTCCCCATAAGGTTGAAATCTTGTGACCCGTGGGTGAGGTGAATACGAGAGGCGATCCTTGATACCATGCGATATTGGCTGGTCTATCCACAGGAAAAATCCACACTCTTTTTTGTAGCATGTCAGAAATATTCGATCCTGGCTCCAAGGCTGTTTACTTTTTCTCAATGCTAGCTTGTTAGAAAAATCACAGACCAACTGAGCTGCATATTTTTTCACATCAGAGTGTGTATGATGCGCGATCCACTTTATGTCCCCTTTCCATTCTGAAGCAGGGGCAAACATAAAACACATTTTCTCGGGGCAGTACACATAGCAAAATCCTTTTGCTTTTTCTACCAATTCCAACGTTGAGCGGGGATGAAACGGGCAGAACTGACCGGGTAAGGAACTGGCTTTATCTTCTGAAGCGTTCATTTCGACTTGCATGTTTGAAGCGATGTTTTAAAAAATATTGGTGGTAGTAAGACTTTTTTCCTTAGCAAACCGATTGCAAGATTAATATGCTGAACGGAGAGCCCGCTTTTATTTTAAACACATAATAGATTGTTTACTATCCAATCGGGGTTAAAAGAACCTGGGCAAGTCTAGGCAAGCCTATTGTTCTTATTATAGTAGAGTGACGCTCATTAGTAAACCTATCCACTTCATTATATATGGAGGAAGGCACTTAATTAGTATGAAGGAAATCCAAATTAGTATGCGGGAAATCCAGGGAAATCCAAAATGAGGTGAAGTTTCAACATAGTCTACTACTAGTTCCTCCAATTGGAAAAATGCTTCGCGTTCCCCTGTCAGCAAGCTTTCCCGGGAAGTGGAAGCGGGGGACGCTCCTTGAGTCATCGCACAAATGTAAAAAAGAAAACTTTACCTGAACAATTTCGCCCGTTTCCAGTGAAACCCGGTTCACACTTGCAATTAAAGTGTCCAGCAGTATTTACACAAGTTGCATTTTGGTGGCAATCGTGGCTGCCGTTGTTGCATTCATCGGTATCTAGGTAGCATAGGGTCGGACATAGGGAAAAGAGCAAGAAAAAGTAAATCTGATGGTTTTAAGATAAACGTCCACCTTACGAGTTAAAGGTATTTTTATTTTATTTTATTTTATTTTATAAGATAAGATAAGATAAGATAAGAGAGTGGGGATAAACTTTATGTAGCCATTCTAGCCAACTCAACTAAAGCTGGGCTTCCATTAGAGGCGTGCAAAACGTATTACTAACATAATCATAACTATAACAAAATTGTCAAATCTGATTGGCTATCAACTGCCCTGGTTTCAGCCTTAATTGGACAGTTTAATAGGACAGTACGCGCCATGCCTAAGTAATTGGACAGTACGGGCCATCACGCGCGCGCTGAAATGGCTTTTTTTTTTCACTGCTAGCAAAACAAAATTTCGAATTTTTTGTGTTTTGATTTAAAAAATTTATATCACAAATTTTGTTAAAGTTATGATTAATTGGTAACAGAACTTCGTGGCGTCCAATTCGGTCTGCAACCATACTCGTGATTAAACAAATCAGACTCCCGCTACGCGGTCGTCCGATTTTGTTAATCACTCGTATGATTACAGACCGAGTTGGACTCCACTCAGTCCTGTTACCATTACAAATAATAATGACAAAATATCAAATTATACAATCTAAACTAAACGCTACGAAAATTATAAACTTTACACTATATTCTATACATTAAATAAAAAAAAATAAAAAAATAAAAAAAATAAAATCTGACTTAAATTTTATATATGCTATCCAGGCTGTATGCTATCTAAAAACATACCAGTGACATATATTCTCCAGCAGTGACCCAAAGGCCAATGGGATTTGATTTCAGTTTTAAATGACGTGACGGTCTCACAATTTCACGTCTTTGCCCCTCTTTTGGGCAGAGGAAGGGCAATCTTTTTGGCTTAGTTCCAAGATTACGATTACTATTGGTTTATGGGCTTTAATTCTGTAAAGATATTTGATAGTCTGGGGATTGAGGGGATGGAAACTGCGTGTTTGTCTAACTCAATTTCACTAACAGTATCATGTATACCTGCCAACTTTTTCTGAGATATAAGCGTGAGATTTTTATCCTGGGAGTGCTGGGATTTTTGAAGACGACACGATCATTTCCGAAGATTCCCGAAGAAGTCCGAAGTCTTCCGAAGACGTCCGAAGTCTTCCGAAGTCTGCCAAAGGCGAGCTCGCTCCCAGTGCTTTTCACTTAAAAAATCAGAGATCGCGAGGAAGGTATTGCCATTTATTCATTTTACACATGGTTTTCATTCCTTACATGGGTCTGAGTTAACATATTTTTGGAAATTGTGTCAAGCAGGATGGCAACAACTCACATTTTTCAATCAGGCGTGAGAAATTGGCCCGCAGGCGTGAGCCGGCGTGAGATCGAAGTTTTCAACCCGCAGGCGTGAGACTCACGCCTAAGGAGTGAGAGTTGGCAGGTATATATCATGCCTCAGAGAGACAAGCTGTTGATTATTACGCCCGGAAATGCTATTGATAATTCTTCACGCTTGCTTTGGATCGCCACGCTCATTTTCAAGTTGATTCTAGCATAATAATTCCATTTTGTCTAGATAGCAGCAACAATAGAGATAGTCGTATAAACATAACAACTTTCTTTAATTTTCCAGACACAATTTGAAGGTACATCCGTCATCTTCAGTGTTACATATTTTGAAATCGCCGTTGAATTTAAAGCGCGCGCGATCTTACAAAGTTCGTTACATTGCGTTGTCAATATTGCGTACTAAAACAAAAAAAAAAAATTAAGTAAGTGACGCTTAGTTCTTCACAGGGAGAGAGTCAGGTTAATGTTTTTTGTTTTAGTACGCAATATTGACAACGCAATGCAATGTAAAAAACTTTGTAAGATCGCGCGCGCTTTAAATTCAACGGCGATTTCAAAATATGTAACACTGAAGATGACGGATGTACCGTCGAAACATGCCTGGAAAATCAAGAAATTAAAGAAAGTTGTTATGTTTATACGAATTTCATTTTGCTTATCATAGGGCAATGTTTACAGTATTTCTAGCGGAAATATAGAGACCAATTGTTATCCTCGGTTCTCTTTATCGTTTATCGTAGCTAGACGATCTCGCTCCCTCATTTGTTGCGTAATCTTACTATTTACTTAGGGGAGACTAGATAGTTTGTTCCTGACCGGCTTTTTTCGTCGCTCCCTCATTTGTTGCGTAATCTTACTATTTACTTAGGGGAGACTAGATAGTTTGTTCCTGACCGGCTTTTTTCGTATAGGGCGTTTCTATCCAAAACTTCTAGAAACATTTTCCAACAGATCCGCATTGCATCAACGTCATTTTTAAGATTTAGAGGTTCGCAGGTTTTTTTTTGTTATCTCAAATCCTAAATTTTTCTGAAGTTTCTAATTCCAATTTATTTCATTGTGTTGGATTTTTGAACCAAGTAAACTAGATCGTGATCCCAAAAACCGAACCGTATCACATCAGAATCCAAAAACGACCTTGAGGTTTAAGTAATACGAGTAGGTTTGTCGATACTAAAAATAACAACTGCAAGATTTCATTATCCCATGTGCGATATATTAAAATTCTGCCACGACTCTGAGGCTTTAGAGTCAAAATTGCAAATATTTCACGACTTCATTGCCTCCCAATTCCCATAAGCGACTTAGGGCCTGTTTACAAGGAGAGAGGGTTACCCTTTTGCCGTGGCTACCCTAGCAAGCGGGTTAAAGTTAGCTCTGGTTTACAAGCAACCTCGTCTCCAGGGCGCTTTTCCCTGGCTTTGGAGGTCTGGCGGCCTCCAATGCCAGGGAAAAGCGCCCTGGCCGGGGACGAGGTTGGTTTACAAGCAAATTTCACAGGCAGGGTTACCCTATCACCCGGGTCAACTTTACAAGCTTTACTGACGTGTTACGTCATGCGTGCATTCTTTGTAACGGTACAAAATTTGAAATAATGTTGAAGTTCTCTATGGAAAACACGTTAAATTCACGAAGAAAGGGAAAATATTATCATCGTAGACAGAAAATAACTAGTTATTATTCAGATGTTTATAATTAAGCTCAGACATTGGATAATACCGTTCAAATTGGTACGATTACTGGTCATGCATGACGGCGGAACTACCCGGGTAGGCGAGTTATCCCTAACTGAGCGTTTACAAGGCAGGTAGGGTAACCCTCTTGCCAGGGTAACCCTAGCACTCAGGTAGGGTTACCCTAGCGCTAGGGTAACCCTACCTGCCTTGTAAACACGTCGTGTGAAAAAAGAAGAAATATGCGAATGCAAGGGTAACCCTCTTGCCAGGGTAACCCAAGCACTCAGGTAGGGTTACCCTAGCGCTAGGGTAACCGTACCTACCTTGTAAACACGTCGTGTAAAAAAAGAAGAAATATGCGAGTGCTAGGGTAACCCTCGTGCTAGGGCAACCCTAGCACGAGGGTTACCCTCCCTTCTTGTAAACAGGCCCTTAAGCACAAAGAAAACCAAACCTAATGAAGAAAAATGACCAGAAAGCCCCTGAGTCATGTAAGAATTTTAATATATCGAACGTGGGCTACTGTTACCCTGACAAAGGCGGCCATTCCCTGTGAATCCTGCCTGACAACTGCAATTAAAATGTCCAGCGGCATTTACACAAATTGCATGCTGATGGCAATCATGGCTGCCGTTGATGCATTCATCGATATCTGAATAACACAGGGAGCAAAAAAAACAAAAGAAAATGAATTTCTCCTTTTTCTTCCATTGCGCAGATCAGTGGCCGTTTAGAGTAAATAATGGTTTACAAAGTTTGCCACTGAAATGCTAAACATGCTCATTTTTTCTTGTCGACGGTTGTTGTAAAATCGCCAATGAAGCGTTAACTCCCCCTCCACTTTTTCCGAAGGAAAGACAACTATGACGAGTGTCTCTTCAGCCTTTTTCTCGTAAGTTACTAGGAGTCCCTCCACTTGTAAAAAATAATGTTCCGCGTTCTTAGCATCACGCAAAATGCATTTTGGTGGCCGCCGCTGCTGCATTCATCGATATCTGATCGGCGAGTAACAGAAGGAAAACAAAGAAAAAATATATCAAGTAGTTTCAAGATGGAGGCAAACGAGCAGATTATGGAATAAAAGGTATTTTTTACCCTGACACAGACGACCATTTCCTGTGAATCCTGTTTGACAGCTGCAATTAAAATGTCCAGCGGTATTTATACATTTTGCATTTTGATGGCAATCATGGCTTCCGATGCTGCATTCATCGATATCTAAATAATACGAAGAGCAAAAAAGTTAATCTGATACCTTTTACATCAAGGTAAACGTGTTGTTCTAAAAATAAAAGGAAATTTTATTCACTATTATACATTGAGCACACTTGGTCGTTTCCTGCGAGCCCTTGCTGATACGGCCTGGAATTAAAATGTACGAAAGATTTTTTTGTACAGATTGCAGTTTGGTGGCAATCGTGGCCACTGCTGCTTGACGCTGTCCAGAAATAAAAAATCAAAAGGGCGCAAAAGGTAATTTATACTGGGGCACATCTAGCTTTTCCAGTTAACCTTGGAAGCTAGTTGTAATTATTTTGACCTGCTGTGGCTTCGTGCAAGTTGCATTTTATTGAAATAATTTACTTTTGTTGTGGTATTTACCAGAACACTGAACAGGCGAAGTTAAATGATTAAAATCCCACCCTATAGCCCGGTAAAGGGAAACATTTCCAGTTGAATCGTTCTGCTTGTAGATGAGAGTCTATAGTATAGCCTTCGATATCACTTTTGTAGTTTGCGAAGGCTGGAAACCGATTTGCATTGATAGTGAAGTGTTCGACAGCATACACTCCTCTGGTTGGTAGATCTTGGATTTTTTTCAAAGTAGAGAAAAATTTTTGTGACCAGTCTTGCAAGAAAAATAAATGATTGTGGGATAATAAAGGATTCACTATAACCAACCTTATGTAGTGAGGTAACCCGCCTGTCCATATAATCTCTCGTTTCAATTTGATTACGCTTACATGATGGGTGGGGTGACCATATGAGAGATTATATGGACAGGCGGGCGACCACACCAAAGCGGGTTTCCTTAACTATCTGGGGTCCTCCACTCTCCATGTAAACAGTTGGCTACCCTATAGAACTGTAGAGCGGGGGTCTTGGAAGAAAGCGTTAGCTCCCCCTCCACTTTTTCTGAAGAAAAGACTACTATGAAGAGTGTCTCTTCCGCCTTTCCATCGTAGGGTCACTAGGCGAGTCTCTCCACTTGGAAAAAATAATGTCCCTCGTTCTTGTCACCAAGCTTTCTTGAGAGGATGAAGGAGGTTGGTTGGGGGGGGGGGGGACTCCCTAGGTTATCGTTTGACAAATGAAAAAAAAATTATAGCTTCACCTGACCTGAACAATTTCTCCCGTTTCCAGTGAGACCCGGTTTACAGATGCAATCATAGTGTCCAGCGGTATTAACGCAAATTGAATTTTGATGGCAATCATGGCTGCGGCTATTGCATTCACTGATATGTGATCGGCGAGTAACAGAAGGAAAACAAGGAAAAAGTAAATCCAGTAGTCTCAAGATGGAGGCAAACGAGCAGATTATGGAATAAAAGATATTTTTTACCCTGACACAGACGACCATTTCCTGTGAATCCTGTTTGACAGCTGCAATTAAAATGTCCAGCGGTATTTATACATTTTGCATTTTGATGGCAATCATGGCTTCCGATGCTGCATTCATCGATATCTAAATGATATGAAGAGCAAAAAAGTTAACCTGATACTTTTTACATCAAAGTAAACGTGTTGTTGATTGCACACTTGGTCGTTACCTGTGAACCATTGCTGATGCGGTCCGTAATTTCAATACCGGAAGGGTTTTTGTACAAATTACAGTTTGGAGGCAATCATGGCCTCCGCTGCTTGACGCCGTTCAGTTTATCAAATCAAAAGGACACAAAAGGTAATTTATACTGGGGCACATCAAGCTTTTCCAGTTAACCTTGGAAGCTAGTTGTTATTGTTTTGACCTGCGTCTTCGTGCAACTTGCATTTTATTGGAAATCATTGCTGTCGTTGTTATATTTACTAGAAGAATCAACAGGCGAAGTTAAATGTTAAAATTCCCACCCTACAAACTGATTAGCCTCTTTTTGTTTCCCCCTCAGTGGGGTGTTTAAAGGCTTTGTTATTCATTGCATATTGTTACCAGCAATATGACCTGTCACAATTAATTTCTCCACTATACCTGTTTCACAGTGCTCTCCTGTGTATCCCGATGTACATACACAAATATACTTCTTGTCAGTAAACCCAAGGAGACATTTGGCGTTGTTCCGGCAGGGATTGCTGCAGCATAGATTCTGTGAGAATAGAACACGTTTTCTCTTAGGGTAGCAATGAATTCAGTTGTGAATTGGCTCCAACGAGAGAGAAAAGAGAAGTAACAAAGCCAAAATGTCTTGGAGATAGATTGTTATTGCAGGAATACCACACAACTTACATCACCGCCGGCTTTGCGAACCCGGTGCTTTTCAGGCTGAAAGAGCAGTGTTTAGCCACCCACGCAGACTTCCTTTTGGCTTCGACAAGCGTTCGTCGTGTAGGGAAGAAACGCTTGACGAAGCCCTTAGAAGGTTTGTCTGGGGGCTGCAGTTTGCGTTCTGTTTTTTGTCGCCTGCCGGAAGGAAGAAGGAGACAAGGCAACCGACTAATGTTTCCGCATAATGGCGCGATTATTTGAGCTAAGGTGAGGTCTGTCCCGCAGCTGCTTTGTAGCATAATCTTCTGACCAGTTTTTGCTGAGATCCTGTTTGGTGTTTCGGCCTGGGTTTAAAACAACTGGGCAAAAGAACGCTTGACCAACTACGTCATAAGGATACGGTAAAATTCCGAAAATAAGTACCATGTATAAGCCCCTCCAAAAGTCCCCCAAACTCGTAACGCATAATAGAACCTCCATTAAAGGGCCGCTCCGGAAATTGACGAATTTCGGTTCGGAAGCTTGGATTATGTTATTTAGCTGACATGTTCATAAGTAATCTTAAAACTAAATTTAATAGTTCTTTACAGAATGGTTTCAAATACAAAAAGAATTCATAAATCCCTTTACAGAAATTTTTCCATAATAGCTAAACAAATGCCTTGAAAAGTGTAATTTGTCGGCAAGGAAACATGACATTTGCGTGCCAAATTTTGTCGTTGGCAGCAGTAAATGATGTTTTTCAAAATCCATCATTTTAATTTTGTGCTCAATGATCTCACTGCTTTCGTATATACTAAAACAATTATTCACCTCAGTGTCAGCGGCCAGAGGGGGATATTTACCACCACTCACCACCTCCACTTCAGTGAATAATTGTTTTAAATCAGCAAAACAACAACTTTGCACACGCATCTCTCTTTCAGTTTTGAACATTTTTTAGCCGACTACAACGTGAAAATACCTTATTGAGTCACGTTTTATCGAGAACGGGAACACAAGACAACTTTTTTTCTTGCACTTTGATGCAGTCCTTTAGAATTCAACTCCAAAAACATTCGCCAACATTTGACGAATTAGACCAGATGGAAGAAGCGCGATAAAGTTTGAGGAAACGCGATTTCACTTTTTAAGTGACGTTTTCGTAGCCGTCGCCGTCGTTGTTGCTTAAGCTCCCTAATTATAGTGTTCTGGCCGATGCATTTTTTTATGAATTCAGTTGAGGTGAAAAAAAGTTTGAGCTTTTTAAAGAGATAGCAAATGGCTTGGCATAGTCCGTTTAATAACCATTAAACTTATTCTCATTGGATGCAAATTTTCCTCCTTTTCATTGGCCGAAAGCCCAGCACGTGACCTACAAATAACTGCCTACAAATTATGGCCTCCGACCAACGAAGCTTCTCGTCGCACGCGATGAACAAAACTCCGGTACCCGGGGTACAAATAATATTCTGCTCACGCTTAAACAAAACCATGGTTTTCTCCTTCTTGCGATCGCTCTTGCGTGAAAGAAGGCAGATGGCTCCGCTTCCCGAAGATATTAAAAAACAAATTTGGTGATCGAATGATAAAACATTAAACTCGGTTATCGCAAAATAGCGTTATTTGCCAGTGTCTCTTAGATCAAAATGAATAGGCCATTTTCGAGTTCCCCTGGGCCTCTGTATCAAAACGAGGGCTCTGTATCAACTTTGATATGGAAATGATTTTTCAATTCTCATGCAAAATTACTCGTTGTCCCTTAGAAAGGTTGTGCACTTGGCCTCATTTTGAAAGTGAGGGTTTTTGGAACTCGGAAGTGGCCTATTTTTTACCTCAGCCTTCGGCTTTTAAAATATCGCCACACGTGCTAGCAAAAACAGCATCACGACACGACCTTGAACTCAATTACCTCTGCTCCTCTATATGTCCAGCCGTGTCTTGGTTGAAGATCTTTAGGGTGATGCCAATGATCAGAGTTACTTAACTCACATATCACTTTGTCGTTTATTGGTGGACCAACATTGATCGATACACATTCACTCTCCATGACGCATCGATGCTCGCACGATGCGTGAATTCCAATGGAAAGATTTAAGAACACGTGGTCCTTGAAATAATATCCACTTTCTGGAGGTATAAACTGGACCCGTCGGCATCCACCTACAAAAATAATTCAATTCTCTGTTGCAGATTTGCCCCTTGAACATGATGAAACTAACTGTAGTTAGATTGTTATGAGAAAAAAGCCTAAAAAGACATAAGGATCAATCACTCTGATCCGGGCTGAGACAGAAAGGTACGATATTGTTCGCTTTTTTAAGGTGAACACTAAGGCTTTGGTCCCGGGAATAAGCTTTCAGGAGTAACATGAATTAGGCGAGAGCAAAATTGCAACCGAACTTTTATCCGGGTCAAAGCTATTCGGTGAGCAAACAGGGTCTATGCTGGTCTGCCGACCGTGTGACCATACATCCGGGAACTTGAATAAAACGAGTGTAAGATAAAAGTCAAGGGGTGTTATCTGCCAATAGGCTGAGTTTTTCCGAGTTATTTGATGATATTTCGCTTGTGTTAAACGTGAGATGATTATGCGTGGTTGTGGATAGTCGTATCAGTGCCGCGAAAGTGTGTGATTGTGTGATTTCCGCACGGTGTTGACAGGCAGAACTCAGGTATGTCGTCGCGGGGCGTAGGGAAAAGCCGGAATCCGCAATCCGGAACCGGAGCCGGAAACGGAACCGGAGCCTAAAAAATAGAAATTGGAGACGTTTCTGTCTTGAGAGTGTCGCTAACAATAATTGCTCGAATAAGACTTTTCATCCCCACATTATATTTATTTATTGTTATTACATTTTTACTGTCGCATTTTTTGCGTACGGCGCCAAATTTTTCTTCGAGAATTTCATATACGCGTGAGCGTTGCAACTTGGGATCATGATTGACATGTGTACTCCTCCTCCCTTTGCCGCCTTTCCCTCACAATGGTTGAAACACGGAGCCCTTTTAAGAAAAGGTACGAGTAAGAATATAAAAGTTTTCATTCTTTTCCGCCGTTTACCGAGTTTGAAAAAATGTTACCATTTTACAAAAACATATCTGTTTTCGTTTACAGATCGCGACAAAGCGACGAATCGATAGAAATGTGAGTACGTGTGAAAAAGTTGTTGTGCTTTGAATTTATGCTCGAGTCTGCGGCGGAACAGCAAGGGCTGATTCTTTGAATTTTAGTGTTTTTTTTTTTTTTAAGTCATGTAAATTACAACTGAATATTTTGTTTGTTTGTTTGTTTTTTTCCGGTACAAGTGTCTAAGCGTAGGATGCACTTACCTTTTTTTTGCAAGTCACTCTCCGAATGTAAGTATATCTTTTGTATCACGATCACTGTGCTGAAAATTTCTCAAAACAATGATGACAGAGGACGCCATCTTGAATTTTATTTCCACAAGGGGAACTGGTTTCAGTGCTTCCCAGTTTACCCCGATGTCAATTTAAGTTCCGGTTCCGATTCCGATTCCGGTTCCGGTTCCGGTTGTGGTTCCGTTTCCGGCTCCGGTTCTGGATTCCGGCTTTTCCATACGCCCGTCGTCGCGCGGTTGAGTTGTTGGACCAAAATATTCTGTGCCAGCCATAAAAACGTTTCGTCGGTGTTTAGCTTAGCTGACTTTGCCTTGAAAAACCAATTTTCGACTGAGGAAAGTTGGATCTAGGCTTATTTTTAGCGGACTCTTGGCTTTGAACCACTTAGGCCGGTTTTGGCAGATAAGAAGTTGGTGATGTTTCAATCAGTTTGTTGTGTATTCCATGCGAAATCCTGTCATAAATCGGAACGCGAAAAAAGTATTGTTTTGCTAGGCTATTTGAGTTCATAAGTAAGCCTTAACCAGGCACGGATTGGCTGCAGTTCACGCAACCTCAAAATTTCTAGACTGAAATGACACCTGTTTGAAACTTCACGGAGTCGGATTACTGAATAAATTTTCTAACATTTGCATTATTTTAAATTTGGAGTCGTTGAAATTCTTCTAGGGACAACTTACTTACTACCCGACGTCAGATAAAGGCTTCTAATCGGCCTTTGAATGATTGTTCATTGTTTTAAGGAGCCAAGTAGTAGAATGAATTGATTTTGTGCTAACCCGGTTTTCCGCAAAAATCCAGGTATAAATTGCACATGAATCAGAAAGGATCAACTCTAAATTCGTAAAAGATCAGTGAAATGTCTCTCATTATTCTCTCATGCATGCATGTTCTTTGTCGGCAAGCTCATTTGGTAAAAAAGCACTTTTCTAGGTATGATTATCCTCATATTCTTGGCATGTGCTCTAAGTAATTATGGAGAGAGGAGAGGCTACCATGTGACATTGAAATATCAGGCAAAACCCAGAAAATGCCTGGAAAGTGTTTGCCACTTTAAAGTGCCACTCGAATCTACTTAATTTCGCTTTGCAAATAACATAATTGGGCTTTATAGGCACTTACTTCATTGAGATAATAATAGATAAATAGAAATGAATGAATCATTGTCAGTTGGTGCAAGTCACTTGGCATATGGTGTTTCATTAAGAGGAGCCATATACTGCGAAAACGGACACGAAAAAGCTGGTCATGGTTGAAATGAAAACGTTTCAGCTGATTTGCCCCAGCCACAACCTGGCTGGTACGTCCCCACCAAGTAAGAGATTATAGAATTACTTTCTATACTTTCTGTTTGTAAAGCAAGGTTAAATCATTTGACAATATAGATAGATATAGGATATGATGGATGGATGGATGGATGGATGGATGGATGGATGGATGGATAGATAGATCGTTTATTACAGTAAATACATGGGCAGCCACAGGCTAAATTGCGTATTTACAAATAAAACTAAGCTAAAAATATAGAATAATTTACAATACATCAATATTAAAAATATTAAAAATTCATGCATATAATATATAAAGGCATTCAAACCGAATCATTTAATTGTACCTTAGGCACGATGACAAAATATGAGTGTTCTTAAAACGGTCCGTCTTCCACTTTGGAAGTGCAAAGTGTTGGTGATTTCTTAGTAAATATGGAGCCTTATTGGCTTCAGTTAATAGCTTGATAAGTTTTGCTGACCTGGCTAGGTCTTTGTCTCAGTACTTTTACTTTCTAAAATAGCAACAGTAACAAAAGATTTCAGGTTAAAAATAGAATTTGTATTTAGTTTTCATTTAACTCTAAGTGATTTCTGTTTATATTTCTATTGTATTCTTTTGTCTTCAGTGGTTGTAAAGATCGTATATAAGTAAGTTGCTTTGAACTGATATTTCGATTACATCACCGATTACATCGTCGATTATTTCGTCGTGTCCTAGCCGAGTTATTGCTGTTTGATCCGCTGAAGAATAAACGCTGTTGGAACCAAGTTTAGTTCTGTTTTTTCTACTGCTGTACAAGTTAGTGGTCAGATCCCGGTCCTACGGAGAAGTGACGGCTCTTCCCCGCAAGCGAGTTGCCATTTGAGTCTAGTTTTCCCCAGTTTTATCGTGAGTCAAGCACCGAGTTCCCGTTGAGCCTTAAATTCGTTTCAAAGTGGAAAAACCTTCCGTCACAGTTTGTTATCCTTGTTGCCGAGGGCAGCTTTAAAAACCTTTTCACATGACTGTGTCCTCGCAATATGACGTAATGGTTGGAATACCAACTTCATTAAGTGCCTCGTCATGCATAAGACAGACTGGGGCAAATGATCGATTATGCCCTTTTTTGGACCCGCTCCAGCTCACACTCTTAAAAGCTTGGGCAGAGCATAAAAGAAAACAGGCGCAGCACAAACTAGGATTGATCTTATACATGTGGCATAAAAGAGGACTAAATCCCTACATGGAAGCTTTGCCCGGTTAACTACGGTGGTCATTGTTTGCTATTGACTGTTGCAAATATAAAAAACAAAACTTTTAAATGGTGACTCCTGTTAATATTAAATGCTTTCTTGTGGGGATTGTTTTTTGTACACCCACACACAGAGTGTAAAAAGAATAGTCTTTTATAGGTTAATGATTATATGCTAAACGCGGTTGTTTTAATATCAACTTCATAACTGTTACTGAATCACTGACGGGAAGATGAAAAAAAGGAAGACAAAGCAGACTAATATGAGGGAAAGAAACGAGAAAAGAAAGACTGAAAAATTTAAACGAATCCGACAAAAAGAAAATTTTGCAAAATTACTTTATTATCATGATGCTGCAGTGTTCCTACAGTCTTGCCGCCAGACATGCCATGTAAAAATATTCATGATAGTCGCCTTTGTGTTAATTAGTTTGAGCATTAAAAATGCATCATAATATAGATATATACATCTACAACATATTTTTTAAGCGAAATAATAGTGTCTTTTCAATTGCAACTAGATCATAAATTTCCGGATGAAACAGAACTTTGTAGGGGCATAGACTGAAACGTATTTCCATCACCGCATTCCAGGGTTGAACTTCTCGTTGCTTAAAGTTGTCGAAATAGTGTGGAGTGGGATGACATATTAGGAAAAACAATAACGTTTACAATAACTTATGGTAGTAAACCTCAGTGGCATAGTTGTGGCTTGGCACGCAAAGATAAATTAAAAGGGAAATTTTGCGTTTTTGATCCATTCAATAAATGGTGTATAAAATTAGATTTTGAACAGTGATAGCATGCAGCAAAGTGGCCAGAAAAACTCTCCATCAGCTCCATCTTTTTGCTTGCAATTTTGAACATTCTCCCATCGTTACTTAGTATTTAATATTCCGAAATCATTTTTGGCGATAAACCCACAAATTACATGAAATTAGGGCGTAAAAGGTAGTATTGTTCTCACTTTACTCAAAAGCACGGTGACGGATCCGTGACTGAAATTAAACTTTCGTCCCGGTTCAAACTGAACCGCATTGAAGTGTATACATGGGATAATTACAGCTCGGTGGGACAAGATCTTAGTTAACCGGTCTAAACCGTCTCCATTTGAACACACTAATTTTTTGACAATGGAAAATGGGGTGAAGTTACATCTCAGTCAACCAAAAGCAAGCCTGGTCATCGTGGCTTGTCAAGAGGTTCGCAGGAAGACAAAATCATCGCTCAATGGTAGACCGCCATCTTTTGATGGTTGTGTGAAGTTTTTAAAGTATAATTTGTAACCATCCTACGAAAAA